AGGATTTCTTGAGTACACGGTTGTTTTAGGGGTACTTTTGTCTTTCATTTTTGTATTGGAGACATCCTGTGTGTGTGTGTATACAGGTGTATGTTCATATGAAGGTTAAAAGTTAGTGTTTCCTCTTCTTTGTCTTTCCACCTTACTTTAATACAGGGCATTTCACTGGACCTGAAGCTTATCAATTGGCCAGACTGGGTAGTCAATGAGCTCCCAGGACACATCTGTCTCTGGTTTTAAGTGCTGGGATTACAGGCTGCACCACTGCCCTGGGCTTCTTAAAATAATATTTTATATGTGTATATGGCAGGCAGTTTTGAATGTTCCACATATGAAGCTTAAAAACATATAACAACTGTATTCAGGCAACGAATAGCCTCTTAGAAAACTGCTCTCAAGGAATTAAAATAATTTATAACAAGGAAGAAATAACTTGTGAAAGACTCATAGGACCTATTAGTTGATCCTGGTCTTAATGAGTGAAATGTCTCTACAAAAGACCAGAATATAGATAAGAAAAACAAATGAAAAATGTTATTTTAGATGATAAAGAAAAAGGCATGGGAGAGGATTGTAACCATTGCCATTTATCTCTATTACATATTTATTGCAGGAGCCAGTGTATCAACAGCAACACTAATTAAACCTTCTCATCTCTACAGCAAAGAGGTTGCATTAGCAGCCTGTCATTCCAAACCCAAAAGTCTAGGGTTCTTAGTTTTGCTTTTGAACTAGAAGCATTTTGAGGACATGGGGTGTTGCATTCATGTTTCAATAAATGCTGAAAGCTTACCTTTACTTCTATACATATAACAGTAGCTCGATAGTCTGGGTAGTAGTTTCTATAAACATGCTGTGGTAGTTTGAATCAGACTATTCCCCCCATAGGCTCAAGTTTGGGGACCTAGTGTGAACTTGCTAGAGGAAGTACATCTCTGGGTGTCTTTGAGAACCCCTAGCTTGACCCACTTCCAGTCCACTCTTTCTGCTTTGTATTTATGCTGACCTGACGCTGTGATCACTCAACTTCCTGCTCCAGTTGCTTGCTGCCATTTCTCCCTGCCATTTTGGACTCTCCCTCTGGGACCATCAGCCAAAATAAACTCTTTCACAAGTTGTTTCTGACCACAGTGTTTTATCACAGCTGTGAAAAGTAACTCAAATCTTCATACCAACTGTTAATGATTGTGCACATTTTTTTTTGGATTATTACACTAAAAAGCAAGGTAGATAGGTTCCTTTTTATCAGTCCCTGAAGCTCATAGGTATTTATTTGCATGGCTTTCCTTCTATTATTTCATAAGTGAATATTAAGCAGGAAGGCCTTCAAGAGGCAAAGAAAGTGAACCAAGAGAAAGTAATGCCTAGATGTTGAAGAAACTCATTATGGAGTTTGCTTTCTTTGTGGCAAAAGTTAGACACTGGGCAGAAAAGTGCCCTTGCTTCAATTGCATGACAGGATGCTATATAAACTGGACGTGCAGGATCTATAGGAAGGTGACCACTGTACTTTGCAAGACAAGATGGTTCTTCAGGTTCCTCTTTCACAGAGAAGACTTCCAAATATTCTACAGCATATAGAGAGAAGCACCTGAGAGACTCTAGGCCTATAGGCTGAAGATGGATGCCCCAACATTGCAGAGAAACTTGGGATGAATATCCAGGCAGCCAGCTGTCTCTGTCATTTCCAGAATTTTGGGAGTTGCTTACAATGCATTTTCTGTTTACTTATTTAATATTATATCCTTCTGAGGACTTTGATGCACTTGAAGACTAGATAGTTATAGTGTTCCTTAGTCATGATAAAAAGATAAATTAGAAATAAAACCTTGAACTCACAAATATAGGATAAATAGAATATTTTCTTTGAATTTGCCAAATATAAGTGGGCTGGATATTGTTAAAAAAAAAAGTGATGCCTAGAAACACTGTCCCCAAATATGTAAGACGCAACATGAAAAGAGACATGGCAGTGACTCAGACACAAGACAACACAGCTATGATTAGAGAGGCTGAGAGAAACGCTAGCTTTCAAATGGATGGGAATCTATACTTATTATATACTTTTAATTGATTCCCTCTTGATAATTTGATAAAAATCTCACAGGTTCCAATAAAGGAAATGACATTATTCTACAATACCAGGCAGCATTCCCTGCAAACCCAGCTTTCACCCTTACAGGAGTTTGTTTTTATCTCATCATCTTGCATGCTTTTCTTGCTTCCTCTTCTTAACCTGCTGTGAACAGAAGCACCAATATCCCAGTGGACAAGACACTGTGGAAGCTTTATGTGACTTCGCGGAGAACTAAAAATTTGGTAAGCAAAGAACAATCTCTAGAATGCTACTTTCTGGACCAAACATGTAATTTAAAGATGTCCATATAAAATTCATACCTTAGCATATGATTCTAAATTAAAATTTCCATTTCCACATTCATTTAAGATCATTGTCAATTGACTATATAATCAATCATCGTATTCAAAGCTTTTGCTTTCTCTTTCGCTTCTTCCCACATTTTTTCCTACCTACATTAAGATTAGCAGACCATAGCAACTACTCTCCATGTGGAACATTTTACAACAAAACGTTCCTCTAACCATTGCTAAGTGTCCTCTCCATGCTATGTGAATGCTACAACAGGAAATATATCTCAGACAGGCATCTCTGAGACTTTTTCAATCTACTTTAAAAACAAGTCACAATTTCTCTCAATTTGGAATCCCAGACTCTAGAGCAGCAACCTTTGGGAGATTGATGAGGATTTCCATATTGTAATAATAGATATACTTCTACTAAATGTCACAGAATCTCATGTCAACTTTGGGATTCCATTTAAAAAACTCTTTAATCATAGCAGGTTGGGCTGGAGGGATAGCTCAGCCATTAAAGGCTAGGCTCACAACCAAAAATATAATCATAGCAGGTTATTTGTTTATGATTCCAAATCTGAATACATTCACAAAATATTTCCAACAGAACTAATAATGACTGCTGATTCTTCCATGTGTGTAGTTTACATAATAGAATTATAGTTCACCTACAATCAATAGATTCTTAAATCATCAGCCTTAACAATATAGGAACAGGAAACATATTTTCCAAACTAAATTCCCACATTTTTCACTTTTTCCCCATTCTTGTGTTTCTGCTTCTGTTCATCCCTTCTCAAATCCCTTCTCAAATATCTCCTCAAGCACCTGGAATTCAGCAGTCTTGCTTATCTGTCCAAATCCCCCACCAAGGAGCCATCAGAATTCTGGTGCTAAGATCTGCCCATGCTCTGTGGTCTGTTGTGGAATATGTACATGCTCCATGGCATAGCATTCAAGGGCCACACAATTCAATCCAATCTACCAAAAATAGTCTTGTTTCCCTCTCCCTTACTCCTCTTCCAGAAAGTTCTGCAAGTCAGCAGCTGAGGGAAGAGTTATGAAGCCAGATAACATCACTTTATGCCACTGAAATGGCCTTGAGCTTGGGTGCAGATCACACCTTCAGAACCTCACAAAGTTGTGGAATATGTGTAATTTTATAAACTGGCATCTCAATGAATAAACATATATTTAGCAGGCTTAAGTGTTGCTGAACATAAAATAATTATTAATAAAATTTAGAATTTTCATCACTAATATATATTTTCAATTGAATGAAATGCACTACACATGAAAAAAAGTGACTGGTATAGTTTCCCAAAGAAATAAAATCAAGCATCAGAAAGCAGAAAGAGGGAAGAGAGCTAGGCAACAAAGCTCCCCGTTCAATAGACCATGTACTATAGAACGGCATGGGATAAAATGCATGAAAGGAGGGCACTGCCTCAGTTATCTCTCAGAATAGGTGGCTTGGCTATATTATCATTGGTTATTCCTCAGCAATTGTTCTATGCCAGTTCCAAAGGGTCAAAGGACATCAATTTTAAAATGATGTCATTTTCTGAATGTGATTAAGGTTCTTCAAAGAAAAATAAAGAACATGTTACTTTAAGGGCCCATTAACAACTGCTGAGCTAGTAGCTATGTGCTTGGTAAATATATTACCTTTTATCTAGAATTTTAAAAATAGCGTATTTGTTTGAAAGTTCTTATACATCTTTGAAAATCATCCATTCTCTCAGGTATAGAGCAATGCTGGAAAGAACTATTTAACTACCCAGAGCACATACTGAGGCAAGCTGACAGTCTTCAGAGTATTAACTGTCCCTCAGACAAAATGAAAATCAAAACCATGATATAATTCCATTCAATATGGCTTCTAAAATACATGATTTTTACTTGGTTGTTGTGGGATATTTTGATAGCATTCTGACACTCCGGAGACTGCCCAATAAAGTTTTACCTTAAATCAGAGGGTAGAGCCAGTGGCTAACTGACCAGAATTGACCATAGAGAAGCCAGCATTTTGGGTTGAGAAGATGCACAGGAAGGAAAGAGCAGGGACTAGAGTTTGAGCTTCTTTGTTCTGGGGCAAGGGAAGAGATGCATCTCTTGCAGTGTCTCTGACCAAAAAGCTAGGTCAGCTAGTTGCTACTCAGCCTTTCTGAGCTAGCAGGTTTTCACTCCAGCCTTTGACTCCTGAGTCTTATTGATAAATAGAACAATAGAGACTTGAATAACATATTGCAGCTAAGGCAGAGCCTGGGCCATGGGACTGGAAGCCCCACCCGGCCACAGCCTGAGAGGCCAGTGGAGTACTGACTGAGGGGCCATGGAGTGGCGGATGATAATTAAAGTATCAGTAGATTCATGTGCAGAAAAGCTGACAGAAAAACATCACTTGGTCACAAAAGAAACCAGTAGATTGGGCAAAAAAGGAACTTTCACTTCATGTTTCCTTTGACTGAATTCTTGTACTTTAGAAGTATAGATCAGAGTCTGGATACAACATTGTTACACACAGGCTTTTGGGTGAGGTTCTTCTATCAGTGCCCAGAGGACACTAACCAACCAGGAGATGTGATTGAAATGGCCAAAAGCCTCAAAAAGGAGTCACTACTCACAATGTTCATCAGGGTGAGGAGGTAGTTTTGGACATGTTCTTTGCCATGGAAACGGACCACAGAGTCATCCACTCCCAGAAGCACCTCGATGTTGTAATCATTCTCTCCCGAGTGTCTGCGGCGCCTCATTGTCTCATTCAGCTGCTGGCCAATGTTGCTGTAAACTGTACCTAGATCATCAAGGCCTTCCCGATCCGACTCTATTAAGAGACAAAAGGAACCCAGGCATTTCAGTTTCCCCAATGGGCCTTCCAGTAATTTCTTAGAAATATTTCTTTTCAGGGCCATCACTATAATCCAAATCATTAACATATTGCTTCCATTTTGTTTGGAAAATAATAGGCACATATGTATGCTCAGAATGACTCCTGACATACTCAACACTCACAGTAATACACAATAGTATTACTATACTATTGTCCTGGGAGATGAACCACTGAACCAGACTGAATATTCACAAGGATATGAGTGGTTAGTCTTTTCCTTGCTGCATCCTAGGACAGAGAAAAGGCAGCAGGATATAGCAGTTATAGAATCATTCAACAAAGCCTTTAAATAAATGTTATGTGTTATCATGTTAACCCTGGTTAATCTACAATCCTATGATCATGGGGTGTAGAATTTATTCTCTATAAACCTAAATCACTCTTATCAACAGCCTTAATTTAAAAATCAACTTCTGCCATATCAACACAAATACATTTTATGATAACCATTCCTGGCCATGTTGTTAGAGTGACATGGTTAATGCATTGCTTTACTGTGTTGAGGTATGGTTGTCTAGGGAACGGGGCTAGGGAAAAAATGGGCAGACGCATGGGTACAGCCAGATAGTTCTGCACATTTGTCTGGTCTCTCATTCAATAGCAGTTAAATCCATTGCTGTATTGGGGACTGGACCTGCCTGGACTGAGTCTACCAGGTTGATCTCAGTCCTCGGGGGAGGCTTTGCCCTGGAGGATGTGGGAATGGGGGGTGGGCTGGGGGGAAGGGGAGAGGGGTGGGAGGAGGGAGAACAAGGGAATCCGTGGCTGATATGTAGAACTGAATAGTATTGTAAAATAAAATAAAATTAAAAAAATAAAGAAGCTTAATCCAGTCCACTCAAAGTCCAAGCTTCAAACTGTTGGGGTAAGACTTCCAGGATTGTAAAGGGACACAAAGAAGAGTGGGTGAAGCTGGACTTAGTGCTTTCTCATGGAGAAGTCTTGCACTCTGTAGACATTTGGTCTCTGTTGTCTACTACTTGAAGCCCTATGCTCCATAGACTTGCAGATGGACGGCAGAAGGGCTAGGAGCCTTAATGTACTTGAATGCCCTTGGGAGACACCCTGCAAGCCCAGTTATCTTGTTCTTGCTGTCTGCAGAGTGCTGATATTCACACAGCAGTCCAGTTCAAGCAGTTGTGAAAGTGTTGGGGTTATTTCTTGTCACAATTGTTCCAGACACATGCCCGATTCTTATGCCAATTGTTTCATTCTCATAGCAGCCTGGCTTAGTATTCTCCAATATCTCTGTTTGACAGATTCATTAACAACAGGTCAGTCTTCAGGTACAAGTCTTACCCCATGATCCTACAGCATCCTCTAAACTTACATTATCATGATTCCCTAAAATTCACCCCAAAGCAGATTTAGTCAATAGGATCTTCCAAGGATCTCAAGGGAGGAATCAATCCTGAGCAAGCAGATGTTCTCTGGAAACACAACAGACAACCAGGGCAACAAGGAGGCTGGGGGTAGACACAAAACAATGCTGGAGAGAAAAGGATAGACATCAGTGACAAGTGCTTCTGACCATATCCTTTATGGAATATTAGTTTAAGATGTCTTACAAAAAAAGATGTGTTACAATTGTTTATGCTGTGTAATATTTCTTTAATGATGTAAAGTTGTGTTGTGTTAAAAAATTATAAATTTTATTTAAAAAATACATTGCTGTATGTCTCAATTTGTGAGACAGCAAAGTAAGGAATCAATCAGAAAATGACAATTAGTTAGAGAAAAATACAATTATAAGCACAATTTACTTTTATTTGTATCAAAGAAGTACTTTAATTCCTTAAATGGACATTTCATATATAGACACATGTGTGGGAAGGAATGAGGCAGATACTGTTTGCACTTAATAACCTAAATTCTCCATAGTGAAGAAAAGCATTGGTGAATTAAAACATGAAATATCAGTTGAATACTAATATCATTCAAATACTGGCATTAAAAAAAAACTGAAGGTATGTTCATTTCAAGTCCATAAAACCCAGAAAGGAATTTATTCTATAAAATGCCTTGATGTCTAAAGCAAGCTTGACAGAACTGAGTCTGACTCATGCTTTATATAGAGGTTTATTGAATGCTGTGTGGAGGCCTGGGAGCCATCTGAGTCAGAGTCTTGACATGAATGAACAGGCATTTTCCTCCCCACCTTTGTGGTTTTAGTGAAGTTGCAGGAAAGGATGTCTACTGGCCAAGAAGGCTGATGACCAAGCTCTAACCACATGGGGATTAGAGGCATGGAAGTACATACCCTGCTCACAGCTCTTCAGCCTCTCACAAATACAGAGAAACAGCCATCCCTGCCCAGCATGTACTGGCTTAAGCTATGCTTATGACTATTTGGTTTAAAAGCTATACTGTACTTCACTTTGACCCAGGCCCAGTTCCTAATTCATTAGCTGGGGATTTTCTCCTCACTGAGAACTCATTGGCTCTATGTTATAAAAATAATTCTCACCATCATCCGCATCAAACAGAAAGCTTCCTTCAAAAGCTGCTCTTTCAAGAGTCTGGAAACTGCACCTGCATACAGTTTTGCTATCCACCCTCAAGTCTCTCCGTACATTTGAGAATGTGAGAGGTGATGGCGGGCGTACGGACAGGACTACTGATGGATTAGCTCTCTGTTCTAGAGACATCTGGTTTGGCAGGGTTGCCAGAGGCAATGTTCAGTGGAAATACGTGAGCAACAGCATTATATTATCAAGCTGACGAATGAATGAAGAAGGGTGAGGGTTTACTGCCGAGAGACAGTTCATCTCACCCTGACACGTCCAGTCTGGCTTTTGCATTTCTCCTTAAAGAAATGGAAAGAGCAGAGACATTCATGGTACAAAAGGGAACATGGGAGAAAAAGAAAGGAACCTTTAAAACCAAGGGCACTCTTGTCTGTCTTTTACTCTGTGCTGTACCATCTTATTTTCCTTAATTCTGCATGTGGGGGGTGTCAAACATTAGGACACCTTTAGGCAGTTTCGCTTATACACATCATAATTCTCTGAGGCCGTGAGGTATATTCATTCACAAATAATTTGCCTTAGTATGTTTCTTTTGAATGTAACATCCAAATTATTAGTAGCATAGTTTTTTTTTTTCCTTTTCTCCCCCAAGACAGGGTCTCACTGTCTGACTGTGTTCTCCAGGCTCGACTTGAACTTACAATATGCCTCTACCTCCTGGGATACTAAGATTAAGATACATGGACTTTATAAACAGACAAATTTAGGTTCAAATCTTCTTAACAACCCATCCAACTGTAGTTTTATGTAAGATGACCAACCTCTTTGACCCTCAGCCACTTCATTTATGAAATGGAATCATCCTTATACTTAGGGCTGGGGCGACAGCTCAGCTGGTAAGAACACTTGTTATGCAAGTGTGAGGACCCGAATCAAACCTCGGCATCCATGGGTAAAGACTGAGCATGGCTTCCTACATGTCTGTAATCTCAGTGTTCTGGGTACGTGTGAAAAGGGATAGGAGGATTGCTCAGGATTGATGGAATGGCTTCAGGTTCAGAGAGATCCTGTCACAAGAGACTGTGGCAGATTAGTACAGAGAAGGAAACTGGACTTCCAGCCTAGCTCTAGGTTCACTTAGAGGTGCTGCCCCAAGGAAATAAGGTTATGTGATATAGCTTGACATTCTTCTCTTGCCTCTGCATGTATACAAAAGCCCATCTCCCCCTACCCCAGTACCAGACACAAGCCATTCACATCTATCCCCTCATAGCTCCCCCAAACATATTCTTTCTCATAAGTGCTCCTAGATTCAAATCTCTGGCTTTGTGTACTCAACATAAGAGTTCATGTAGAGGCCATAAATCTAGAAAGAGGCCAATAGGAAGGGGATGCAATAGGTGTGAGGGTATAATAAAGTACAGATGTTATAAACATAGAGTTGGGGATAACTGAGTTGGAAAGGTACAAGCAAGGAGGGGTGGAGGTGTATGGGAGACAAGGAGGTGAAGAGGAGGGTTAATCAAAATGAAGGGGTTACAGAAGACCCATATGGAAATCAACTATCTTATAAACAATCTACAAAGTATAATTTATGGGAAAAAATAATTAGAAAGGAGACACCTTGTATGGTTAGATAAAGCTCCCCCTAAAAGCTATGGGTTATTAAACAAAAACCACAGTGCCAGGTGTGTGGTATCTCGTCATGAGCTATTGACCAGGGATACCCCAAATGACTCCCAAATAATACAGAGTCTTGCCATTGTTTTTTTAATTGACCACCAGAACTGAAGGATAAGATCCTACTGCTGCAGACACCGCAATTATTGGTTGCTTGGTGTGAAAATTAAGTTGGAACTGATCTGGAAGCCTCCTCTCTGAAGGTTAGATTTCACTGTGCTAGAAAGTGCTACTCTGGTTTCTGGTAGAGAAAAATCATCAGTGAGTTTACCTAGCTATGAATCATGTGAACTATAATACCAATCTGCCAGGTAAGTTGTACCTACTGGTACAACAGTGTCATGATCGTTATGCCAGTAACCACTTGCTCTGTGCTTGAATAAAAAGCCTTCTCCTTAAAAGGAAATTTAGGCCTTGCCAATGTAAACCCGGTCAAAAACCCCATTGGTCAGGCCCTAGGGGAGGTAACCTAGTACCATTGTTCAGCTCAATTGTCACGGCACCAAGCTGCTTTTGAAATATTTATGTTTATACTCACAGACAAACACGAGGCCCAGCATTACTCACATAAGCTTCTCTTTGCAATGAACAACGGTGAATTCAGAGACATACGATTGTTCAAGTTGCTGAAAATAAGTAACGGTTGAAGGCTTAGCTCTAAAGAAAACATTTATACTGTCCACTCAAAGGCTCCGGAAACATCATGAAAGAGTGGGTGGGAAGAATTTAAGAGCTGGAAAACGGGGCGAAAGGCTGTGAAGTGCTGCTACTTCTGGACATGACACA